AAATCAAAAAAATCTGCAAAAAAAATCCCCCCAAAAATCCCCCAAAATTCCCAAAAATCCCAAAAAAATCTGCAAAAATTGGCAAAAAATCCCCCCAAAATTCCCCCAAAATCCCATAAAATTCCCCCAGAAATCCCCCAAAAATCCAAAAAAAATCCCGAAAAAATCCCCCTAAAATTCCCCAAAATTTTGCAAAAATTCCCAAAAAATAAAAAAAAAAATCTGCAAAAAATCCCCAAAAAAATCCCCAAAACCCCCGCAAAAAATCCCCTAAAATTCCCAAAAAACCCCCAAAATTCCCCAAAAAAATCCCAAAAAATCCCCCCGAATTCCCAAAAATTGCCAAAAAAACCCCCCAAAATTCCCCAAAAATCCCAAAAAAATCCCCAAAACCCCCAAATAAATCCCCACAAAAATCTGCAAAAATCCCCCAAAAAATCCCAAAAAATCTCCAAAAAATCCCCAAGAAATCCCAAAAATCCCCCAAAAAATCCTAAAAATCCCCAAAAATTCCCCAAAAATCCCAAATCCCCAACGCCCCCAGGCTGAAGGGCCGGAGCACGTTCCGGCTGTCGCTGCAAACCCCCAATAAATCCCCAAAAAATCTGAAAAAATTCCCCAAAAATCCCCCAAAAAATCTGCAAAAATTCCCAAAAAATCCCAAAAAATCCCCAAAAAATCCCCCAAAAAATCCTAAAAATTCCCCCAAAAATTCCCCAAAAATCCCAAATCCCCCAACGCCCCCAGGCTGAAGGGCCGGAGCACGTTCCGGCTGTCGCTGCAAACCCCCAATAAATCCCCAAAAAATCTGCAAAAATTCCCACAAAAATCCCCAAAAATCCCAAAAAATCCCCCAAAAAATCCTAAAAAATCCCCAAAAATTCCCCAAAAATCCCAAATGCCCCAAATCCCCAACACCCCCAGGCTGAAGGGCCGGAGCACGTTCCGGCTGTCGTTGCAAACCCCCCAATAAATCCCCCAAAAATCTGCAAAAATTCCCAAAAAATCCCCCAAAAAATCCCAGAAAAGTCTCCAAAAAATCCCCCAAAATTCCCCAAAAATCCCCTAAAAAATCCCCAAAAATTCCCCAAAAATCCCAAATCCCCCAACCCCCCCAGGCTGAAGGGCCGGAGCACGTTCCGGCTGTTGCTGCAAACCCCCAAAAAATCCGCAAAAAATCTGCAAAAATTCCCAAAAAAATCCCCCAAAAAATCCCAAAAAATCCCCCAACAATCCCCAAAAAATCCCACAATAAATCCCCCAAAAAATCCTAAAAAATCCCCAAAAAATCCTAAAAATTCCCCAAAAATTCCCCAAAAATCCCAAATCCCCCCAACACCCCCAGGCTGAAGGGCCGGAGCACGTTCCGGCTGTCGCTGCAAACCCCCAATAAATCCCCCAAAAATCTGCAAAAATTCCCAAAAAATTCCCCAAAAAATCCCAGAAAAGTCTCCAAAAAATCCCCAAAAATTCCCCCAAAAAAACCCCAAAACCCCAAATCCCCCACGCCCCCAGGCTGAAGGGCCGGAGCACGTTCCGGCTGTTGCTGCAAACCCCCAATAAATCCGCAAAAAATCTGCAAAAATTCCCAAAAAAATCCCCCAAAAAATCCCAAAAAATCCCAGAAAAGTCTCCAAAAAATCCCCAAAAATTCCCCAAAAAATCCTAAAAAATCCCCAAAAATTCCCCAAATCCCCCAAATCCCCCAAACGCTCCCAAACCCCCCCAGGCTGAAGGGCCGGAGCACGTTCCGGCTGTCGCTGCAAACCCCCAATAAATCCCCAAAAAATCTGCAAAAATTCCCAAAAAAATCCCCCAAAAAATCCCACAATAAATCCCCAAAAAAATCCCCAAAAATCCCCCAAAAAATCCTAAAAAATCCCCAAAAATTCCCCAAAAATCCCAAATCCCCCAACGCCCCCAGGCTGAAGGGCCGGAGCACGTTCCGGCTGTTGCTGCAAACCCCCAATAAATCCGCAAAAAATCTGCAAAAATTCCCAAAAAAATCCCCCAAAAAATCCCAAAAAATCCCAGAAAAGTCTCCAAAAAATCCCAAAAAATTCCCCAAAAAATCCCAAAAAATCCCCAAAAAATCCTAAAAAATCCCCAAAAATCCCCCAAAAATCCCAAATCCCCCACGCCCCCAGGCTGAAGGGCCGGAGCACGTTCTGGCTGTCGCTGCAAAGCCCCAATAAATCCCCAAAAAATCTGCAAAAATTCCCAAAAAAATCCCCTAAAAAATCCCAGAAGTCTCCAAAAATCCCCAAAAATTCCCCAAAAAATCCCAAAAATCCCCCAAAAAATCCTAAAAATTCCCCCAAAAATTCCCCAAAAATCCCAAATCTCCCAACGCCCCCAGGCTGAAGGGCCGGAGCACGTTCCGGCTGTCGCTGCAAACCCCCAATAAATCCCCAAAAAATCTGCAAAAATTCCCAAAAAAATCCCCCAAAAAATCCCCAAAAAATCCCCCAAAAAATCCCCAAAAAAATCCCAAAAATCCCCAAAAAAATCCTAAAAAATCCCCAAAAATCCCCCAAAAACCCCAAATCCCCCAGGCTGAAGGGCCGGAGCACGTTCCGGCTGTCGCTGCAAACCCCCAATAAATCCCCAAAAAATCTGCAAAAATTCCCCAAAAAATCCCAAAAAATCCCCCAAAATCCCCAAAAAATAAAAAAAAAATTCCCCAAAAGTCCTAAAAATTCCCCCAAAAAATCCCAAAAATCCCCCCAAAAATCCTATAAAATCCCAAAATAGGCCCCAAAAATTCCCCCAAAATCCAAAAAATATCCAAAAAAATTCTCAAAAATTCCCAAAAAATCCCCAAAAAATTCCTGAAAAATTTTCAAAAATTCCCCCAAACCCCCCCCCAAAAACCCCAAAAAATCCCCAAAACCCCCAATAAATCCCCACAAAAATCTGCAAAAATTCCCCAAAAAATCCCAAAAAAATCTCAAAAAATCCCCCGAAAATCCCCCAAAAATCCCCCAATAAATCCCCAAAAAATCCCCACGAAATTCTCCAAAAATTTGCAAAAATTCCCCAAAAAATCCCCAAAAACCCCCCATTAAATCCCCACAAAAATCTGCAAAAATTCCCCAAAAATCGCCAATAAATCCCCACAAAAATCTGCAAAAAATCCCCCCAAAAATCCCAAAAAATCCCAGAAAAGTCTCAAAAAAATCCCCAAAAATTCCCCAAAAATCCCAAATCCCAAACCCCCCCAGGCTGAAGGGCCGGAGCACGTTCCGGCTGTCGCTGCAAACCCCCAATAAATCCCCAAAAAATCTGCAAAAATTCCCAAAAAAATCCCCAAAAAAATCCCACAATAAATCCCCCAAAGAAATCCCAAAAATCCCCCAAAAAATCCTAAAAAATCCCCAAAAATTCCCCAAATCCCCCAAATCCCCCAACCCCCCCAGGCTGAAGGGCCGGAGCACGTTCCGGCTGTCGCTGCAAACCCCCAATAAATCCCCAAAAAATCTGCAAAAATTCCCAAAAAAATCCTAAAAAATCCCCAAAAAATCCCCCAAAAAAATCCCCCAAAAAATCCCACAAATCCCCCAGAAAAATCCTAAAAAATTCCCAAAAATCCCCCCAAAAAATCCTAAAAAATCCCCAAAAATTCCCCAAATGCCCCAAATCCCCCACGCCCCCAGGCTGAAGGGCCGGAGCACGTTCCGGCTGTTGCTGCAAACCCCCAATAAATCCCCAAAAAATCTGCAAAAATTCCCAAAAAAATCCCCAAAAAATCCCCAAAAAATCCCCCAAAAAATCCTAAAAAATCCCCAAAAAATCCCCCAAAAAATCCTAAAAAATCCCCCAAAATCCCCCAAAAATCCCAAATCCCCCAAATCCCCCCAGGCTGAAGGGCCGGAGCACGTTCCGGCTGTCGCTGCAAACCCCCAATAAATCCCAAAAAAATCTGCAAAAATTCCCAAAAAAATCTCCAAAAAATCCCCAAAAAATCCCCCCCCAAAATCCCAAAAAAATCCCCCAGAAATCCCCCAAAAATCCCAAAAAAATCCCAAAAATTCCCAAAAAAATTCCCCAAAAATCCCATAACATTCCCCAAAAATCCCCAAAAAATCCCCCAAAATTCCCAAAAAACCCCCCCAAATTCCCCAAAAAATCCCCAAAAAATCCCTCCAAAAATCCCCTCAAAATTCTCCAAAAATTCCCCAAAAATTTGCAAAAATTCCCCAAAAATCCCCCAATAAATCCTCACAAAAATCTGCAAAAATTCCCAAAAAATCCTGAAAATTAAAAAAAATTTCACAAAAATTCCCCCAAAATCCCAAAAAAATCCCCAAAAACCCCCCAAAAAATCCCCACAAAAATCTGCAAAAATTCCCAAAAAAATCGCCAAAAAAATCCCCCAAAATATCCCCAAAAATTCCTAAAAAAATCCCAAAAAATCCCCAAAAAATCCCCCAAAAAATCCTAAAAAATCCCCAAAAATTCCCCAAAAACCCCAAATCCCCCAATGCCCCAGGCTGAAGGGCCGGAGCACGTTCCGGCTGTCGCTGCAAAGCCCAATAAATCCCCCAAAAAATCTGCAAAAATTCCCAAAAATCCCCCAACAAATCCCCCAAAAAATCCTAAAAAATCCCCAAAAATTCCCCAAAAACCCCAAATCCCCAACGCCCCCAGGCTGAAGGGCCGGAGCACGTTCCGGCTGTCGCTGCAAACCCCCAATAAATCCCCAAAAAATCTGCAAAAATTCCCCAAAAAATCCCCCAAAAAATCCCAAAAATCCCCAAAAAATCCTAAAAAATCCCCAAAAATTCCCCAAATCCCCCAAATCCCCCACGCCCCCAGGCTGAAGGGCCGGAGCACGTTCTGGCTGTCGCTGCAAACCCCCAATAAATCCCCAAAAAAATCTGCAAAAATTCCCAAAAAATCCCCCAAAAAATCCCCGAAAAGTCTCTAAAAAATCCCAAAAATCCCCCAAAAATCCCCTAAAAAATCCCCCAAAAACCCCAAATCCCCAACGCCCCCAGGCTGAAGGGCCGGAGCACGTTCCGGCTGTCGCTGCGTTTCACCGACCCCGACATGGAGACGCGCTACTCGGTGGAGAAGGAGAAGCAGAGCGGCGCCGCCTTCAGCTGCTCCTGCGTCGTCCTCGTCTTCACCGCCCTGGTGGAGGCCGTCATCGACCCCTGGTAGGCCCTGGGGACACCTCGGGGACACCTCGGGGACACCTTGGGGACACCTCCGGTGTCACCCTCTGACCTCCGACCCCTTCCGGGCAGGTTGGTGGCCAACTACGTGACCTTCGCGGTGGGCGAGGTGCTGCTGGCGGGGCTCACCCTCTGCTCCTTGGCCGCCATCTTCCCGAGGGTGAGGAGGGGACGCGCCTCGGGGACGTCCTCGGCGGCGCGCGGTGGCCCCCGGTGTGACCGCTCGGCGCCGGTTGTCACCGCAGGCCTTCCCCAGAAAGCTGGTGGCCTTCTCCACCTGGATCGACCGCACGCGCTGGGCGCGCAACACCTGGGCCATGGCGGCCATCGCCATCGTCACCGCCGCCGACATCGTGGACATGGTGAGGGGACAGGCGCTGAGGGGACACCGCCCCTGGCCCTGGTGGCACCTCGTGTCAGCCTCGTGTCCCCAGCTGGGATGACGTGGAGGACACGGGGTGGTGGCCAATGGAGACACCATGGGGTGGTGGCAGTGAGGGACAGCGCAGATATTGGTGGCCATGGTGGCCTCCCTGGTGGCCATGGTGGCCCCATTGTCACGTCCCCAGTTTGGCTGCCATGGGCACAATGGGGTGGTGACCAATGGGACATCGGGGCCACCACGGGGTGGTGGCAGTGAGGGACAGCACAGATATTGGTGGACATGGTGGCCTCCCTGGTGGCCATGGTGGCCTCCATGTCCCCAGCTGGGCTGCCATGGGGACCACGGGGTGGTGACCAATGGGGACATCAGTGTCACCTCCAGGTGGTGGCTGTGAGGGACAGCCCAGATATTGCAGCTCCATCACCCTGGTGGCCATGGTGGCCTCCATGTCCCCACCTTGGCTGCCATGGGGACCACGGGGTGGTGACATCAGGGCCACCATGGGGTGGTGGCTGTGCGGAGCAGCCAAAACACTGCAGTTACACCACCCTGGTGGCCATGGTGACCTCATTGTCATGTCCCCAGCTCAGCTGCCATGGGGACCACGGGGTGGTGACCAATGGGGACATTGTGGCCACCTCCGGGTGGTGGCTGTGAGGAACAGCACAGATATTGCAGTTTCACCATCCTGGTGGCCATGGTGGCCTCCATGTCCCCAGTTTGGCTGCCATGGGGACCATGGGGTGGTGACCAATGGGACATTGTGGCCACCTCGGGGTGGTGGCTGTGAGGAGCAGCCTCAGCATTACAGCTCCATCGCCCTGGTGGCCACCATGGCCACCACTTTGTCACCGTGTCCCCAGGTTGGCTGCCATGGGGACCATGGGGTGGTGACCAATGGGGACACCAAGGGGTGGTGGCTGTGAGGGACAGCGCAGATATTGCAGCTCCATCACCCTGGTGGCCAGGGTGGCCTCCATGTCCCCACCTTGGCTGCCATGGGGGCCATGGGGTGGTGACATCAGGGCCACCAAGGGGTGGTGGCTGTGAGGAGCAGCCAAAACACTGCAGTTACACCACCCTGGTGGCCATGTTGGCCGCCACTGTGTCCCCATGGTGACCCCATTGTCATGTCCCCAGTTTGGCTGCCATGGGCATTGTGGTGGTGTGGTGGCCAACAGGACATCAGGGCCACCATGGGCTGGTGGCTGTGACAAACAGCCTGGATATTGCAGCTCCATCACCATGGTGGCCGTGGTGGCCACTGTGTCCCCATGTCCCCAGCTCGGCTGCCATGGGGACCATGGGGTGGTGACCAATGGGGACATTGTGGCCACCTCCAGGTGGTGGCTGTGAGGAGCAGCCAAAACACTGAGTTTACACCATCCTGGTGGCCATGGTGGCCACCGTGTCCCCATGGTGACCCCATTGTCATGTCCCCAGCTCAGCTGCCATGGGCATTGTGGTGGTGTGGTGGCCAACAGGACATCAGGGCCACCATGGGGTGGTGGCCGTGAGGAGCAGCCCGGATATTGCAGCTCCATCACCCTGGTGGCCATCATGGCCACCACTTTGTCACTGTGTCACCACCTTGACTGCCATGGGGACCATGGGGTGGTGACCAATGGGGCATCGGGGCCACCATGGGGTGGTGACCAACGGCACCTCGGGGCCACCATGGGGGGGTGGCCAATGGGACATCAGGGCCACCATGGGGTGGTGACCATGAGGGGCACCCTCAGCATTGCAGCTCCATCACCCTGGTGTCCATGGTGGCCTCCATATCCCCATGTCCCCAGCTCAGCTGCCATGGGGACCATGGGGTTGTGGCCAATGGGACATCAGGGCCACCATGGGGTGGTGACCAATGGGACATCAGGGCCACCATGGGGTGGTGACCATGAGGGGCACCCTCAGCATTGCAGCTCCATCACCCTGGTGTCCATGGTGGCCACCACATCCTCACGCTGACCCCTCCCTGTGTCCCCAGCTCGCCTGCCACCGCCACCGCTGGGTGGTGACCAACGGCACCTCGGGGCCACCTCGGGGTGGTGACCAATGGGACATCAGTGTCACCATGGGGTGGTGACCAATGGGACCTCAGGCCCACCATGGGGTGGTGACCAGTGGGACATCAGGGCCACCATGGGGTGGTGGCCAGTGGGACATCAGTGTCACCATGGGGTGGCAGCTGTAAGGAGCACCCTCAGCATTGCAGCTCCATCACCCTGGTGTCCATGGTGTCCCCACGTCCCCACACTGACCCCTCCCCATGTCCCCAGCTCGCCTGCCACCGCCACCGCTGGGTGGTGACCAACGGCACCTCGGGGCCACCTCGCGGCGGTGGCAGCGGCTGCGCCGACCACCCCAAGTACTTCAGCTACATCGCCCTGCTGGCCCTGGTGGCCTCCATGTCCCCAGTTTGGCTGCCATGGGGACCATGGGGTGGTGACATCAGTGTCACCATGGGGTGGTGGCAGTGAGGAGCACCCTCAGCATTGCAGCTCCATGGTGTCCCCATGTCCCCACACTGACCCCTCCCCGTGTCCCCAGCTCGCCTGCCACCGCCACCGCTGGGTGGTGACCAACGGCACCTCGGGGCCACCTCGCGGCGGTGGCAGCGGCTGCGCCGACCACCCCAAGTACTTCAGCTACATCGCCCTGCTGGCCCTGGTGGCCACCGTGATGCTGGTCCAGGTGAGCCACATGGTCAAGCTGACCCTCATGGTGCTCATCACCGCCGCCACCGGCGCCGTCAACTTCTCCGCCTGGGGACCCATCTTCGACCACTACGACCGGCGGCGCGGCCAGCCCAGCTCGTAAGGAGGGGACAACGGGGATGACGGGGATGGGGATGACGGGGCCGGGGTTCCCAGGTGACCCCGGTGATCCCGTGGCAGGTCGGTGCTGGTGCCCTCCAAGTACTCCATGACCGCCATGATCTTCGTGGTGATGCTCAGCTTCTACTACTTCTCGCGGCACGTGAGTGGCCAGGGGGAAAGGGTCTCCTTCCTGCCCCGTTCCTTATTCTTCATCCCCTTTCCTTCTTCTTCCTTCTTTTTCCTTCTTCTTCCTCCCTTTTCCTTCTTCCTCCCTCCTTTTTGTTCCTCTTCCTCCCCTTTCCTTCCTCTTCCTCCCTTTTCCTTCCTCTTCCCTCCTTTTTGTTCCTCTTCCCTCCTTTTTGTTCCTCTTCCTCCCCTTTCCTTCTTCTTCCTCCCCTTTCCTCCTTCTTCCTTCCTTTTCCTTCCTCTTCCTCCCCTTTCCTTCTTCTTCCTCCCTTTTCCTTCTTTCTTCCTTTTCCTTCTTCTTCCTCCCCTTTCCTTCTTCTTCCTCCCCTTTCCTCCTTTTTCCTTCCTTTTCCTTCCTTTCTCTTCTTACTTTTCTTCCTTCCTCCTCTTACCTCTCCTTCCCACCCTTTTCCTTCTTCTTCCTCCCTTTTCCTTCCTCTTCCTCCCCTTTCCTCCTTCTTCCTACCTTTTCCTTCCTTTCTCTTCTTCCTTTTCTCCTCTTCCTTCCTCCTCTTGCCTCTCCTTCCCTCCCTTTTCCTCCTTCTTCCACCCCTTTCCTTCTTCTTCCTTCCTTTTCCTTCCTTTTCCTTCTTTTTCCTTCATTTTCCTTCCTTTCTCTTCTTACTTTTCTTCCTTCCTCCTCTTGCCTCTCCTTCCCTCCCTTTTCCTCCTTCTTCCTCCCCTTTCCTTCTTCTTCCTTCCTTTTCCTTCTTCTTCCTCTCCTTTCCTTTTTCTTCCTCCCTTTTCCTTCCTCTTCCTCCCCTTTCCTTCCTTTTCTCTTCTTCCCTCCTCCTCTTGCCTCTCCTTCCCTCCCTTTTCCTTCTCCTTCCTTTCTTTTCTTGTCCTTTCTTCCCCTTCCCTTCCTTTCTTTTCCTTCTTTTTTCTTCCTTTTCCTTCTTATTTGTCCTTTTCTTCCCTTTTCCTCCCTTTCCCTTCCTTTTCCTCCTCTTTCTCTCCCTTTTCCTTCTTCTTCCTTCTTTTTGCTTCCTTTTTTGCCCCTTCTTCCCGCTTCCCTTCCTTTCTTTTCCTTCTTTTTCCTTCTTTTCCCACCCTTTCTTCCCTCTCCCTTCCTTTTCCTCCTCTTACCTCTCCTTCCCTCCCTTTTCCTTCTTCTTCTTTCCTTTTCCTGCCTTTTCCTCCTCTCTCCTCCTCTTTCCTCTCCTTCCCTCCATTCTCCTGCTTCTTCCGCATTTTTCCTTCTTTTCCTGCCCTTTCTTCTTCCCCTTCCCCTTCCTTTTCCTCCTCTCCCCTCTCCTTTGCTCCCCTTCCTTTTCCTTCCCTCCCTTTTCCACCCTTTTCTTCACTTTTTCTTCACTTTTCCTCCCTAAATCCCTTCCCCTGATTCCCTAAATCCCCTCCTTGGATTCCCTGGAAGCTCCAAGGCCCCGGGATTTATCCCAGCCCCAGCTTTTCCAAGGAAACTCCCAAAGGGTTTTCCAGCCACCACCAAGTCTGGGAAACACCCTCATCCCATGATTCCACAATCCCATGATCCCACAATCCCATGATTCCTCAATCCCATGATCCCTCAATCCCATGATTCCCACAATCCCATGATCCCTCAATCCCATGATCCCACAATCCCATGATCCCACAATCCCATAATCCCTGTGGAAGATGGACACCCAGGACCAGAAGGCGCACATCTCCAGTATCCCATAATCCCATTATCTCATTATCATATCATTATCTCATTATCATATCATTATCTCATTATCCCATTATCCCATCATACCAACATCCCACAATTCCCACAATTCCCACAATCCCCAGGAATTCCCACAGCGTTCATTCCCAGGTGGAGAAGCTGGCGCGGACGCTGTTCCTGTGGAAGATCGACGTCCATGACCAGAAGGAGCGCGGCTCCATCATCCCACCATCCCATTATCCCACCATCCCCTTATCCCATCATCCCACAAATCCCATCATCCCACAAATCCCATTCTACAATCCCACAATTCCCAGGTGGAGAGGCTGGCACGGACACTGTTGCTGTGGAAGATCGACGTCCATGACCAGAAGGAGCGCGGCTCCATCATCCAACCCCATCATCCCAATATCCCATAAATCCCAATATCCCATAAATCCCATTCCACAATTCCCAGGAATTCCCACAATTCCCAGGTGGCGAAGCTGGCGCGGACGCTGTTCCTGTGGAAGATCGACGTCCATGACCAGAAGGAGCACAGCTCCATCATCCAACCCCATCATCCCATTATCCCACCATCCCAATATCCCATCATCCCACAAATCCCATTCCACAATCCCACAGTCCCACAATTCCCACAATTCCCAGGAATTCCCACAGCGTTCATTCCCAGGTGGAGAAGCTGGCATGGACGCTGTTCCTGTGCAAGATCGACGTCCATGGCCAGAAGGAGCACGGCTCCATCATCCAACCCCATCATCCCAATATCCCATTATCCCACAATTCTACAATCCCAGCAATTCCCACAATTCCCAGGTGGAGAAGCTGGCGCGGACGCTGTTGCTGTGCAAGATCGACGTCCATGACCAGAAGGAGCGCGGCTCCATCATCCAACCCCATCATCCCACAATCCCACCATCCCAATATCCCCCAATCCCATCATCCCACCATCCCATTATCCCACCATCCCACAAATCCCATTCCACAATCCCACAATTCCCACAGCGTTCATTCCCAGGTGGAGAAGCTGGCGCGGACGCTGTTCCTGTGGAAGATCGACGTCCATGACCAGAAGGAGCGCGGCTCCATCATCCAACCCCATCATCCCACAGTCCCATCATCCCAATATCCCATTATCCCAATATCCCATAAATCCCATTCCACAATCCCACAATTCCCAGCAATTCCCACAATTCCCAGGTGGAGAAGCTGGCGCGGACGCTGTTCCTGTGGAAGATCGACGTCCATGACCAGAAGGAGCGCGGCTCCATCATCCCAATATCCCATCATCCCACAATCCCATCATCCCAATATCCCACAAATCCCACAAATCCCACAGTTCCCACAATTCCCAGGTGGAGAAGCTGGCGCGGACGCTGTTCCTGTGGAAGATCGACGTCCATGACCAGAAGGAGCGCGTCTCCGAGATGCGCCGCTGGAACGAGGCCCTGGTGGCCAACATGCTGCCCGAGCACGTGGCCCGGCACTTCCTGGGCTCCAAAAAACGGGATGAGGTCGGTGTTCCCGCTTTTCCTGTCGGTATTCCTCCTTTTCCGGGCGATTCCAGTGTTTCAGCACGGTTCCCACATTCCTGGCATTCCTTGGGTGGGATCCATGGAGCTTCAATCCCATCCCATTCCAGCTGAAGATCCAGGGATCTTCAGTTCCATCCCAGGTGGCTCCAACCTTTCCTTGGATGCTCCCTGGGATTCTCTGGGAATTCCAGCCCGGCTGGGAATTCCTTCCCAGATTTCTTCCGCTTTTCCCAGGGAATTCCCTCCATTCCCAGCTCTCCCAGCCTGGCGTTGGATCCATCCCCATCCCAGCGCCTCTCCGGGGAGGAATTTTGGGGAATTCCCTGGGAATTCGGGTCTCCCTTCCCTTTTCTATCCCCAACCTCCGTAAAAATCCCTTGGGATGGATCCTGGATCCCAAAATCCTGGAATTCCATGGATGGGATCCATGGATTTTCAATCCCATCCCATTCCAACCCCTGGCTCCTCTCTGGGAAGGAATTTTGGGAATTCCCTGGGAATTGGGGACTCCAGGAAGGGTCTCCCTTCCCTTTTCCATTCCCAAAAATCCCTCGGGATGGATCCTGAGTGTCCTGGATCCCAGAATCCCGGAATGGTTTGGGATGGGATCCAGGGACCTTCAATCCCATCCCGTTCCCACCGCACAATCCCAGGGTGCTCCAACCTTTCCTTGGACACTCCCAGGGATCCAGAAAAAACCAACAACCAATAACCATTGACCAATAACCAATAACCAATAGCCAATAATCAATAACTGATATCGCTGCGCTCCTGGGGCGGAATTGCCGGAATTCCAAGGAGCTGCACAGCCAATCATACGAGGGGATCGGGGTGATGTTCGTGTCACTGCCCAACCAATAACCCATACCAAATAACCCATAACCCGTACCAATACCCAACACCCAATAACCAATGATCAATAACGGATATTGGCACATTCCCAGGAGCTGCACAGCCAATCGTACGAGGGGATTGGGGTGATGTTCCCATCCCTGCCCAACCAATAACCCATAACCCATAACCAATACCCAATAACCCATAACTAATACCCAATAACCCATACCAGTACCCAATAACCAACACCCAATAACCAATAATCAATAACGGATATTGGCACATTCCCAGGAGCTGTACAGCCAATCGTACGAGGAGATCGCAGTGATGTTCACATCACTGCCCAACCCATAACCAATAACCCATACCCAATAACCAATAATCGATACCCAATGATCAATAACGGATATTGGTGCATTCCCAGGAGCTGTACAGCCGATCCTGTGAGGAGACTGGGGTGAAGTTCCCATCCCTGCCCAACCAATAACCCATAACCGATAACCAATTCCCAATAAGCCATAAGCAATACCCAATAACCAATAACCCATAACCAATACCCAATAACCCATAACCAATAACCAATACCCAATAACCAATACCCAATAATCAATAACGGATATTGGCACATTCCCAGGAGCTGTACAACCAATCCCACGAGGAGATCGGGGTGATGTTCCCATCCCTGCCCAACCCATAACCCACAACCAGTAACCCATACCCAATAACCATTAACCAACACTCAATAACCAATAACCAATAACTGATATTGGCGCATTTCCAGGAGCTGTACAGCCAATCGTACGAGGAGATCGGGGTGATGTTCGCGTCATTGCCCAGCCCATAACCAATAACCAATACCCAACACCCAATACCCAACAATCAATAACCAGTATTGGTGCATTCCCAGGAGCTCTACAGCCAATCGTACGAGGCGATCGGGGTGATGTTCGTGTCGCTGCCCAACCCATAATCAATAACCCATAACCAATAAGCCATACCCAATACCCAATAAGCCATATCCAATAACCAATAATCAATAACAGATATTGGCACATTCCCAGGAGCTGCACAGCCAATCCTACGAGGAGATCGGGGTGATGTTCACATCCCTGCCCAACCAATAACCCATAACCTATAACCCATAACCAATACCCAATAACTCATACCAGTACCCAATACCCAACACCCAACACCCAATAATCAATAATGGATATTGGCGCATTCCCAGGAGCTGTACAACCAATCCCACAAGATCGGGGTGATGGCCATATCGCTGCTCAACCCATAACCAATAACCCACAACCAATAACCCACAACCAATAACCCATACCCAATAATCAATAACGGATATTGGCACATTCCCAGGAGCTGTACAGCCAATCGTACGAGGCGATCAGGGTGATGTTCGCCTCACTGCCCAACCCATAACCAATAACCCATTACCCATAACCAATGATCAATACCCAATAATCAATAATGGATATTGGTGCATTCCCAGGAGCTGTACAGCCAATCCTGTGAGGAGACTGGGGTGATGTTCCCATCCCTGCCCAACCAATAACCCATAACCAATAACCCATAACCAATAACCCACAACCAATAAACGATAACCGATAATCAATACCCAATAATCAATACCGGATATTGGCGCCTTCCCAGGAGCTGTACAGCCAATCATACGAGGAGATCGGGGTGATGTTCGCGTCGCTGCCGAATTTCGCGGATTTCTACACGGAGGAGAGCATCAACAACGGCGGCATCGAGTGCCTGCGCTTCCTCAACGAGATCATCTCCGACTTCGACGCGGTAAGGAGCCGCGCCCGGAATTCCGCACCGAGACCGGGATGGCCCGGGTGGGGTCACGGTGGGAATCGCGGGGAACTTCCAGGTGGGATCAGACTAGGAATTATGGGGAATGTCAGGTGAAATCACAGCAGGAATCGTGGGGAATGTCCAGGTGGGATCAGACCGGGAATCGTGGGGAATGTTCAGGTGGGATCACAGTGGGAATCATGGGGAATGCCCAGGTGGGATCCCACCAGGAACTGTGGGGAACGTCCAGGTGGGATCAGACTGGGAATCAGGGGGAACATCCAGGTGGGATCACTAGTGGGAATTGTGAGGAACATCCAGGTGGGATCAGACTGGGAATCGCGGGGAATGTCCAGGTGGGATCAGACCATGAATTATGGGGAACATCCAGGTGGAATCACAGCAGGAACTGTGGGGAACGTCCAGGTGGGATCACAATGGGAATCATGGGGAACATCCAGGTGGGATCACACTGGGGATCACAGGGAATGTTCAGGTGGGATTAGACCAGGAATTGTGGGGAATGTTCAGGTAGGATCAGACTGGGAATCATGGGGAACATCCAGGTGGGATCACACTGGGAATTATGGGGAATGTCCAGGTGAGGTCACAGCAGGAATCGTGGGGAACGTCCAGGTGGGATCAGACCAGGAATCGTGGGGAACATCCAGGTGGGATCATAGTGGGAAACCTGGGGAATGTCCAGGTGGGATCAGACCAGGAATCACAGGGAATATTCAGGTGGGATCAGACTGGGAATTGTGGGGAATGTCCAGGTGGGATCACACTAGAAATCACAGGAACATCCAGGTGGGACCACAGTGGGAATCACAGGGAATGTCCAGGTGGGATCAGACCAGGAATTGTGGGGAAAGTCCAGGTGGGATCACAATGGGAGTCATGCGGAACGCCCAGGTGGGATCACACTGGGGATCACAGGGAATGTTCAGGTGGGATGACAGTGGGAATCATGGGAACACCCAGGTGGGATCAGATCGGGAATTGTGGGGAATGTTCAGGTGGGATCACAGTGGGAATTGTGGGGAACACCCAGTTGGGATTCCACCGGGAATCGTGGGGAACATCCAGGTGGGATCACACTGGGAATTGTGGGGAATGTCCAGGTGGGAATAGACTGGGAATAGTGGGGAATGTCCAGGTGGGATCACACCAGGAATCATTGGGGAACCTCCAGGTGGGGTCATGGTGGGAATCATGGGAATGTCCAGGTGGGCTCAGACCAGGAATTGCCGGGAGTGGGAATCAGGGGAACATCCAGGTGGGATCACATGGGGAATAAGTGGGAATGTCCAGGTGGGATCAGACTGGGAATCACGGGGAATGTCCAGGTGGGATCAGACCATGAATTATGGGGAATGTCCAGGTGGGATCAGACCAGGAATTGTGGGGAATGTCCAAGTGGGTCACAGCGGGAATCGTGAGGAACGTCCAGTCAGGAATCATGGGGAATAAATGTCCAGGTGGGATCACGGCGGGAATCGTGGGGAATGCCTAATCTGGAATATTGGGGAATAAATATCGAGGTGGGATCAGACTGGGAATCGTGGGGAACGTCCAATCAGGAATCAGGAGGAATAAATGTCCAGGTGGGATCAGACCAGGAATTGTAGGGAATGTCCAGGTGGGAATTGACTGGGAATAGTGGGGAATGTCCAGGTGGGATCAGACCAGGAATCATAGGGGAACCTTCAGGTGGGATCATGGTGGGAATCATGGGAATGTCCAGGTGGGAATCAAGGGAACATCCAGGTGGGATCATGGTGGGAATCATGGGAATGTCCAGGTGGGAATCAAGGGAACATCCAGGTGGGATCACAATGGGAATCATGAGAATATCCAGGTGGGATCACAGTGGGAAACCTGGGGAATGTCCAGGTGGGATCAGACCAGGAATCACAGGGAATATTCAGGTGGGATCAGACTGGGAATCACAGGGAATGTCCAGGTGGGATCAGACCAGGAATTGTGGGGAGTGTCCAGGTGGGATCAGACCGTGAATTATGGGGAATGTCCAGGTGGAATCACAGCAGGAATTGTGGGGAAGGCCCAGGTGGGATCACACTGGGAATCACGAGAACATCCAGGTGGGATCACAATGGGAATCATGGGGACATCCAGGTGGGATCAGACTGGGAATCCTGGGAACATCCAGGTGGGCTCACACTGGGAATCACGGGAACATCCAGGTGCGATCCCTGGGACCATCCAGGTGGGATCCCTGGGACCATCCAGGTGGGATCCCTGGGACCATCCAGGTGGGATCCCGGTCCCGTGTCGTTCCCAGCTCCTGGACGAGCCCCAGTTCCGCTGCATCACCAAGATCAAGACCATCGGCAGCACCTACATGGCCGCCTCCGGGGTGACGCCCGACGCCGGCGCCAACGGATTCGGAGCCAAGGTCAGCCCGGGATCCCACCTTGGGACACCCCCGGGCATGGGCTCCTTCCTCCTGGTGTCCCATCCTCGTGTCCCATCCCAGTGTCCCCAAATCCATTTCCCATCTCCATGTCCCATCATCCCAGTGTCCCATCCCCATGTCCCATCCCAGTGTCCCCAAATCCATTTCCCATCCCCATGTCCCATCCAAGTGTCCCCAAATCCATTTCCCATCTCCATGTCCCATCATCTCAGTGTTCCATGTCCCATCCGCATGTCCCATCTCCCAGTCCCTCCCCTTGTCCCATCTCCATGTCCCACGTCCGTGTCCCATGTCCGTGTCTTATCCCTGTGTCCCATGTCCACATCCCATCATCTCCATGTCCCATCCCACTGTCCCCAGCTCCAGGTCCCATCTCAATATCTCATTGTCTCCATTTCCCATCTCCATGCCCCGTCATCTCCATGCCCCATCATCTCCGTGTCCCATCTCCACGTCTCATCTCCATCTCCACATCCCATCCCAATGTCCCATCATCTCCATGTCCCATCCCAATGTCCCCAAATCCATGTCCCATCTCCATGTCCCATGCCAATATCTCATTGTCTCCATTTCCCATCCCGATATCCCATTGTCTCAATTTCCCCTTTCCATGCCCCATCATCTCCATTTCCCACCCCTGTCCCATCTCCATGTCTCATCCCAATGTCCCATCATCTCCATGTCCCACCTCCATGTCCCATCATCTCCATGTCCCATCTCCATGTCCCAATTCCATTTCTATCTCCATGTCCCATCTCCATGTCCCATCTCCATGTCCCAATTCCATTTCTATCTCCATGTCCCATCTCCATGTCCCATCTCCATGTCCCATCTCCATGTCCCACCTCCATGTCCCACCTCCATGTCCCATCCCTGTCCCACCTCCATGTCCCATTCCCAATGTCCCATCCCCATGTCCCATCCTACATCCCATCTCCACATCCCATCCCAAAGTTCTATCATCCCCATCTCCCGTCTCCGTGTCCCATCTCTATCTTCAATCTCCATCTCCCGTCTCCATCTCCCATCTCCATGTCCCATCTCCATCTCCCGTCTCCGTGTCCCATCTCCAACTCCCATCTCCATCTCCCGTCTCCGTGTCCCATCTCCGTGTCCCACCTCCATCTCCCGTCTCCATGTCCCATCTCCATCTCCCGTCTCCGTGGCCCATCTCCATCTCCCATCTCCATCTCCCGTCTCCGTGTCCCACCTCCATCTCCCGTCTCTGTGGCCCATCTCTATCTTCAATCTCCATCTCCCATCTCCATCTCCCACCTCCATCTCCCGTCTCCGTGTCCCATCTCCAACTCCCATCTCCATCTCCCGTCTCCGTGTCCCATCATCTCTATGTCCCATGTCCATGTCCCGTCTCCAGGTCCCATCCCAATGTCCCATCATCAAATTGTCCAATCATCTCCATGCCCCATCCCATCCCATCTCAATATCCCATTGTCTCCATGTCCCATCATCTCCATGTCCCATCATCTCCATGTCCCATCATCTCCATGTCCCATCATCTCCATGTCCCTTCTCCATCTCCATGCCCCATCCCCACATTCCACCTCCATCCCCATGTCCCATCTCCATGACCCATTCCCATGTCCCACAACACCGCGTCCCACCTCCATCTCTGTGTCCCGTCATCTCCATGCCCCATCCCCGTGTCCCACCTCCACCTCCACATTCCACCATCTCCGTGCCCCATCCCTGTGTCCCACCTCCATCTCAATGTCCCATCTCCATGCCCCATTCCCGTGTCCCACCTCCATCTCCATGTCCCACCTCCATCCCTGTGTCCCGCCTCCATCTCCACATCCCACCTCCATCTCAATGTCCCATCTCCGTGCCCCATCCCCATGTCCCACCTCCATCTCCATGTCCCACTTCCATCTCTGTGTCCCATCATCTCCGTGCCCCATCCCTGTGTCCCACCTCCATCTCCACATCCCACCTCCATCTCTGTGTCCCACCATCTCTGTGCCCCATCCCTGTGTCCCACCTCCATCTCCATGTCCCACCTCCATCTCAATGTCCCATCTCTGTGCCCCATTCCCATGTCCCACCTCCATCTCCACATCCCACCTCCATCTCTGTGTCCCATACCCGTGTCCCACCTCCATCTCTGTGTCCCATCATCTCCGTGCCCCATCTCCACATCCCACCTCCATCTCTGTGTCCCATACCCGTGTCCCACCTCCATCTCTGTGTCCCATCTCCATCTCTGTGTCCCACCTCCATCTCTGTGCCCCATCCCCATGTCCCACCTCCGTCTCTGTGTCCCATCTCCATCTCTGTGTCCCACCTCCATCTCTGTGTCCCATCTCCATGTCCCATCGCCATGTCCCACCTCCATCCCCATGTCCCACCTCCATCTCCACGTCCCACCTCCATCTCAATGTCCCATCTCCATGCCCCATTCCCATATCCCATCATCTCCACGTCCCACCTCCCATGCCACCGCCCCGTTTCCCTTCTCCCACCACCCGGGAACGCCGGGAACGCCGGGTGGTGGCCGATTCCCGGGAACGCCGGGTGGTGGCCGATTCCCGGGATTCCCGGCAGAAGGAGCCGCGCTCGGAGAAGGAGCGCTGGCAGCACCTGGCCGACCTGGCCGACTTCGCGCTGGCCATGAAGGTGACGCTGATGAACATCAACTACCAGTCCTTCAACAACTTCATGCTGCGCATAGGCAAGTGCGGGGACGCCGGGAATTCCGGGGATTCCGGGGATTCCGGAATGTTCCGGGCATGATCCGTGTCCCTCCGGGCAGGGATGAACAAGGGGGCGGTGCTGGCCGGCGTCATCGGGGCCCGCAAGCCCCACTACGACATCTGGGGCAACACGGTCAACGTGGCCAGCAGGATGGAGTCCACCGGAGTCATGGGCAACATCCAGGTGGGACCATGGGGAGCGTCCAGGTGGGACCATGGGGAACGGCCAGGTGGGACCATGGGGAACGTCCAGGTGGGACCATGGGGGACGTCCAGGTGGGATCATGGGGGACATCCAGGTGGGACCATGGGGAATGTTCAGGTGGGATCAGACCAGGAATCTTGGGAATATCCAGGTGGGATCATGGGGGACGTCCAGGTGGGACCTCAGAGGGAATGAGCTTGGGAATATCAGGGTGGGATCATGGGGAGCATCCAGGTGGGATCATGGGCAACATCCATGTGGGATCATGGGGGACGTCCAGGTGGGACCATGGGGAGCGGCCAGGTGGGATCATGGGGAGTGTCCAGGTGGGACCATGGGGGACGTCCAGGTGGGATCATGGGGAACGTCCAGGTGGGATTATGGGGAACATCGAGGTGGGATCATGGGGAACGTCCAGGTGGGATCAGACCGGAAATCCTGGGAACATCCAGGTGGGACCATGGGGAGCGTCCAGGTGGGATCATGGGGAGCATCCAGGTGGGACCATGGGGAACATCCAGGTGGGACCATGGGGGATGTCCAGGTGGGACCTCAGAGCGAATGAGCTTGGGAATATCAGGGTGGGATTATGGGGAACATCCAGGTGGGATCAGACCAGGAATCCTGGGAACATCCAGGTGGGTTCATGGGGAACATCCAGGTGGGACCATGGGGAGCGTCCAGGTGGGACCGTGGGGGACGTGCAGGTGGGACCATGGGGAGCATCCAGGTGGGACCATGGGGGACGTCCAGGTGGGATCATGGGGGACATCCAGGTGGGATCGTGGGGAATGTTCAAGTGGGATCAGACCAGGAATCTTGGGAATATGCAGGTGGGATCATGGGGAATGTCCAGGTGGGACCATGGGGAAGATCCAGGTGGGACCATGGGAGACATCCAGGTGGGATCATGGGGGACGGCCAGGTGGGACCATGGGGAACGTCCAGGTGGGACCATGGGGAGCGTCCAGGTGGGACCATGGGGGACGTCCAGGTGGGATCATGGGAGACATCCAGGTGGGACCATGGGGGACGTGCAGGTGGGACCATGGGGGACGTCCAGGTGGGACCATGGGGGATGTCCAGGTGGGACCTCAGAGGGAATGAGCTTGGGAATATCAGGGTGGGATTATGGGGAACATGCAGGTGGGATCAGACCAGGAATCCTGGGAACATCCAGGTGGGACCATGGGGGACGTTCAGGTGGGATTATGGGGAACATCCAGGGATCAAACCAGGAATCTTGGGAACATCCAGGTGGGACCGTGGGGAACGTCCAGGTGGGACCATGTGGGACATCCAGGTGGGACCATGGGGAACGTCCAGGTGGGATCATGGGGAACATCCAGGTGGGATCAGACCAGGAATCTTGGGAATATCCAGGTGGGATCGTGGGGAACGTCCAGGTGGGATCATGGGGAACATCCAGGTGGGACCATGGGGGATGGCCAGGTGGGACCATGGGGGATGTCCAGGTGGGACCATGGGGGACATCCAGGTGGGACCATGGGGGACGTCCAGGTGGGGCCATGGGGGACATCCAGGTGGGACCATGGGGGACGTTCAGGTGGGACCATGGGGGACGTCCAGGTGGGATCAGACCAGAAATCCTGGGAACATCCAGGTGGGACCATGGGGGACGTGCAGGTGGGACCATGGGGAATGTCCAGGTGGGATCATGGGGAACGTCCAGGTGGGATCAGACCAGGAATCCTGGGAACATCCAGGCGGGACCATGGGGAATGTCCAGGTGGGATCATGGGGAACATCCAGGTGGGACCATGGGGAACATCCAGGTGGGACCATGTGGGACATCCAGGTGGGACCATGGGGAACGTCCAGGTGGGATTGTGGGGAACGTCCAGGTGGGACTGTGGGGAACGTCCAGGTGGGATCATGGGGAGCATCCCAGTGGGATCATGGGGAACATCCAGGTGGGACCATGGGGGACGTCCAGGTGGGATGAGACCAGGAATCCTGGGAACATCCAGGTGGGATCATGGGGAACGTCCAGGTGGGACCATGGGGGACGTCCAGGTGGGACCTCAGAGGGAATGAGCTTGGGAATATCAGGGTGGGATTATGGGGAACATCCAGGTGGGATCAGACCAGGAATCCTGGGAACATCCAGGTGGGATCATGGGGGACGTTCAGGTGGGATCAGACCAGGAATCTTGGGAATATCCAGGTGGGACCATGGGGAATGCCCAGGTGGAACCATGGCGAACATCCAGGTGGGACCATGGGGGACGTCCAGGTGGGACCATGGGGAACATCGAGGTGGGATCATGGGGAACGTCCAGGTGGGATCATGGGGAATGTCCAGGTGGGATCAGACCAGGAATCTTGGGAATATCCAGGTGGGACCAGGGGGAGCATCCAGGTGGGACCATGGGGAACGTCCAGGTGGGACCTCAGAGGGAATGAGCTTGGGAATATCAGGGTGGGATTATGGGGAACATCCAGGTGGGATCAGACCAGGAATCCTGGGAACATCCAGGTGGGATCATGGGGGACGTTCAGGTGGGACCATGGGGAACGTCCAGGTGGAACCATGGGGAACATCCCAGTGGGATTATGGGGAACGTCCAGGTGGGATCAGACCGGAAATCCTGGGAACATCCAGGTGGGATCATGGGGAACATCCAGGTGGGACCATGGGGAATGTCCAGGTGGGACCAGACCAGGAATCCTGGGAACATCCAGGTGGGATCATGGGGAACGTCCAGGTGGGACCATGGGGAGCATCCAGGTGGGATTGTGGGGAACATCCAGGTGGGATCAGACCAGGAATCCTGGGAACATCCAGATGGGATCATGGGGAATGTCCAGGTGGGACCATGGGGAACGTCCAGGTGGGATCATGGGGAGCATCCAGGTGGGACCATGGGGAGCATCCAGGTGGGATCAGACCAGGAATCCTGGGAGCATCCAGGTGGGACCATGGGGAACATCCAGGTGGGATTGTTGGGAGCATCCAGGTGGGATCATGGGGAAGGTCCAGGCGGGACCATGGGGAGCGGCCAGGTGGGACCTCACCAGGGGTTTCACTGGGAATTGGGGACTCCAGGAAGGGTCTCCCTTCCCTTTTCCATCCCCCAAATTCCATAAAAAAATCCCTCGGGATGGATCCTGAGTGTCCTTGATCCCAGAATCCTGGAATGGTTTGGGATGGGATCCAGGGACCTTCAACCCCATCCCATTCCCACCCCCAATCCCAAACCTCCCCAACCTTTCCCTGCTCGATCCAGAGTGATCCTCTGTGGAATTTGGGAATCCCAAACCCTCCCAGGAATTTCCCCTCTTGAATTTTCCCCCCTCTCCGCTTCCCTCCTCACCCCGGGAGCTCTTCTTCGCCTTTTCCCGGCAGGAACACCCCCGAAATTCCCGATTTCTGTTCCCGTTCCAGGTGGTGGAGGAGACGCAGCAGATCCTGAAGGAGTACGGGTTCCGCTTCGTGCGCCGCGGCGCCGTCTACGTCAAGGGCAAAGGGGAGCTCCTCACCTTCTTCCTGAAGGGCCGCGAGAAACCCGGGGCGCCCCTCGGAGCCGCCGCCGCCGTCCCCCTGCCCCACCAGGTGCTGGAGAATTCCTGAGGATTCCTCGGGAATCTCCAACGGGATCCCCGCCCCGGCCCGGAGGGGTTTTTTGGGGTTTTTTTGGGGGTTTTTTGGTGGTTTTTTATTCCGTGGAAAAGAGGGAAAGGCGGATCCGGGTTTTTCCCGTTTGGCGGGAATGGGGCGGACTCGGAGCGGTGGCGGCGATTCCAGGAGATCCAAACTCAGGGATGGTCGGGAGGACTCCGCGCCTTGTGTATTCCAGATCCATAAATTTTGTCGGAGAAGAGACGGGTCTGCGTTTGTGCCCCGCGGCCGGGATCGGGAACGGGAATGGGAACGGGAATGGGATCAGGATTGGGGTCGGGAATGGGATCAAAATCAGGATCGGGATCAGGATCAGAATTGGGATTGGAATCGGGATTGAGATCTGTATTGGGATTGGGACTGGAATCGGGACTGGGACTGGGATTGGAAATGGGATCAGAATCAGGATCAGAATGGGGATTTGGATCAGGATTGGGATCAGAATTAGGATCAGGATTAGAATCAGGATTGGGGTTGGGGTTGGGTCAGGATTGGGATGGGGCCAGGGCTTGGAATTGGGATCAAGATTGAGACTGGGATTGGAATCCAGATCCAGATTGGGATTGGGATAGAGAATCCACATCAGAATTGGGATCGGGATGAGGATTGGGATCAGAATCAGGATTGGAATGGGGATTGGAGTTGGGATTGGGATGGGGCCAGGGTTTGGAATTGGGATTGGGATCAGGATTGGGATAAGGATTGAGACTGGGATCAGAATCCAGATCCGGATTGGGATCCTCATCGGGATCGAAATCAGAAATGGGATCGGAATTGGGATCAGAATCAGAATTGGGATCAGGATCGGGATCAGAATCGGAATTGGGATTGGGATGGGACCAGGGCTTGGAATTTGGATTGGGATCAGAATCAGGATTGGGATCAGAATCAGGATTGGAATTGGGATTGAGACTGGGATCAGGATTGAGATCCGTATTGGAATTGGGATTGGAATCGGGATCAGGGTTGGGATCGGGATTGGGATTGGGATTGGAAATGGGATCAGAATCAGGATCAGAATTGGAATCGGGGTTGGGGTTGGGATTGGGTCAGGATTGGGATGGGGCCAGGGCTTGGAATTGGGATTGGGATCAGGATTGAGACTGGGATCAGAATCCAGATCTGGATTGGGATTGGGATTCACATTGGGATTTAAATTGGGATCGGGATTGGGACTGAGATCTGGATTGGGATCGGGATCAGGATCAGAATCAGAATTGGGATCAGGATCGGGATCGGAATTGGCATCAGAATCAGGATCAGGATTGGGATCGAGATTGGGATTGGCAGTGGGATTGAGATTGGGATCAGGAACCCGACCCCCCTCAGCACAGCCCCATCCCGGAGGGGTTTTTGGGGCTTTTTTTGGGCTTTTTTGGGGCTTTTTTGGGGGTTTTTTTGGGTTTTTTTGGGGTTTTTTTGGTTTTTTTTAATTCCCTGGAAAAGAGGGAAAGGCGGATCCGGGTTTCTCCCGTTTGGCGGGAATGGGGCGGACTCGGAGCAGTGGCGGCGATTCCAGGAGATCCAAACTCAGGGATGGGTGGGAGGACTCCGCGCCTTGTGTATTCCAGATCCATAAATTTTGTCGGAGAAGAGACGGGTTTGCGTTTGTGCCCCGCGGCCGGGATCGGGATCGGGAACGGGAACGGGAATGGGATCGGGATTGGGGTCAGGAACGGGATTGGAATCAGGATCAGAATTGGGATTGGGATGAGGGTTGGGGGTCAGCATTGGGATTGGAAATGGGATCAGAATCAGGATCGGAATTGGGATTTGGATCAGGATTGGGATCAGAATTAGGATCAGGATTAGGATCAGGATTGGGGTTGGGGTTGGGTCAGGATTGGGATGGGGCCAGGGTTTGGAATTGGGATTGGGATCAAGATTGAGACTGGGATTGGAATCCAGATCCAGATTGGGATTGGGATAGAGAATCCACATCAGAATTGGGATCGGGATGAGGATTGGGATCAGAATCAGGATCGGAATTGGGATCGGGATGAGGATTGGGATCAGAATCGGGATCAGGATCAGGATTGGAATCAGGATCAGAATTGGAATTGGGATTGGGATGGGGCCAGGGCTTGGAATTGGGATCGGGATTGGGATGAAGATTGAGACTGGGATCGGAATCCAGATCCGGATTGGGATTGGGATCCACATCGGGATTGGGATCAGGATTGGGGTTGGAAATGAGATCGGAATTGGGATCAGAATCAGGATCAGAATTGGAATTGGGATTGGGATGGGGCCAGGGCTTGGAATTGGGATTGGGGTCAGAATCAGGATTGGGATTGGGATGAAGATTGAGACTGGGATCAGGATTGAGATCCGTATTGAGATTGGGATCGGGATTGGGATCAGGGTTGGGATCGGGATCGGAATCGGGATCAGAACTGGAATTGGGATTGGAGTCGGGGTTGGGATTGGGATTGGGATTGGGTCAGGATTGGAATTGGGATCAGGATCAAGATTGGAATTGGGATCAGGATCAGAACTGGAATTGGGATTGGAGTCGGGGTTGGGATTGGGATTAGGATTGGGTCAGGATTGGGATGGGGCCAGGGCTTGGAATTGGGATTTGGATCAAGATTGAGCCTGGGATCAGATTCCAGATCCGGATTGGGATCCACATTGGGATTGAAATCAGAATTGGGATCAGGATTGGGATCAGGATGGGAATTGGGATCAGGATCGGGATTGGGATCAAGACTGGGGATGGAAATGGGATCGGAATTGGGATCAGAATCAGGATCAGGATTGGAATCAGGAACCCGACCCCCCTCAGCACAGCCCCATCCCGGAGTTTTCTTTGGGGTTTTTTTGGGGGTTTTTTTGAGGGGTTTTTTTAATTCCGTGGAAAAGAGGGAAAGGCGGATCCGGGTTTCTCCCGTTGGGCGGGAATGGGGCGGACTCGGAGCGGTGGCGGCGATTCCAGGAGATCCAAACTCAGGGATGGTCGGGAGGACTCCGCGCCTTGTGTATTCCAGATCCATAAATTTTGTCGGAGAAGAGACGGGTCTGCGTTTGTGCCCCGCGGCCGGGATCGGGATCGGGAACGGGAATGGGAACGGGATCAGAATCAGGATCGGAATCGGGATTGGAATCAGGATTGAGACTGGGATCAGGATTGAGATCCGTATTGGGATTGGGATTGGAATCAGGATCAGGGTTGGGATCCAAATTGGGATCGGGAATGGGGTTGGGGTCGGGAATGGGATTGGGGTTGGGGTTGGGGTCGGAAATGGGATCACGATCAGAATCAGGATTGGGGTTGGGATCGGGATTGAGAATGGGATCAGGAATTAGGATCGGGATGAGAATGAGAATTGGGATTGGGATCGAGATCCGAATTGGGATTAGGATTGGGATTGGAAATGGGATGAGGAATTAGGATTGGGATTGGGATCAGAATCTTGATCAGAATCGGGATGGGGATTGGGGTTGGAATCGGGATCAGAATCGGAATAAGAATCAGGATCAGGATTGGAAAGTGGGATCAGGATTGGGATTGGGACTGGGATCAGGATTGAGGTCCAGATTGGGATTGGGATCAGGACTGAGACCTGGATTGAGATTGGGATTGGAACTGGGATTGGGATTGGGATTGAGATTTGGGTTGGAAACAGGATCGGAATTGGGATTGGGAATGGGATCAGAATCAGGATTGGGATCCAGAGAGGGATCAGGATTGGGATCAGGATCGGAATTGGGATTGGGATCATGACTGGGAATGGAATTGGGATTAGGATCGGGACTGGAAACGGGATCGGGATCGGAACTGGGATTGTGATTGGAATCTGAACTGGGATCGGGATTGGAATCAGGATCGGAATCGGGATCGGAATCGGAATTGAGATTAGGATTGAACTTGGATCAGGATGGGGAACGGGAATGGGATTGGAAATGGGAATAGGATCGGCATCAGGATCACAATTGGGATTGGGATTGGGATCAGAATCAGGATTGGGATTGGGATTGAGATCAGGATCAAACTTGGATCAGGATGGGGATCAGGTTTGGAATCAGAATCGGGATTGGGACCAAGATTGGGATCGGGATCGGGATCAGGATCAGCTTTGGGATCGGGATCGGGATTAGGACGGGGATTGGGATCAAGATTGGGATTGGAGTCAGCATTAGGATCAGGATCGGGATTGGAATCAGGATCAGGATTGGGATAAGAACTGGGATTGGGATTGGGATCGGGATGGGGCCTGGAATCGGGATCAGGATTGGGATGAGAATCTGGGTCAGGATGAGAATCAGGATCGGGATCGGGACTGGAAATGGGATTGAGATCAGGATTGGGATTGAGATCAGGATCGAACTTGGATCAGGATGGGGATGGGGTTTGGAATCAGAATCGGGATTGGGACCAAGATCGGGATCAGGATCGGGATCAGCTTTGGGATCGGGATCAAGACTGGGAATGGAGTCAGCATTAGGATCAGGATCAGGATTGGGATAAACACTGGGATTGGGATTGGGATCGGGAATGGATTCGGAAGTGGAATCGGGATCAGGATTGGGATGAGAATCGGGATCAGGATGTGGAATTGGGAATGGGAACGGGATCAGGATTGGAATCAGGATCGGGATTGGAGTCGGAATTGGGGCTGAGATTGGGATCGAACCGGGAATTGTCTGGGAATTCCGGCCCAGCTGGGAATTCCTTCCCAAAATCCCCCCCCCTTTTCCCATGGAAATCCATTCCATGGCCCCACCCTGTTTTCCTCATGGAAAACTTCCCGGAATTCCAACTCCTTCCCTCATCCCAAAATTCCCCAACCCATTCCCGTCCCCAATTCCCATTTTTTCCCCTTCCTCCTCCACCTTCTCCCAGATTTTTCCATTTGTTCAGGAATTTTCCATCCATAAAATTTTCCATATTTTTCCACGAATTTCCCATCCTTTTATTTTAATTTTTTTATTTTTTTTAAATTTTTTTTACAATTTCTTCAGGAATTTTCCCCTTCCCAACGTCTCCCGCCATCCCAAGAATTCCCAACCCGGGATCCGTCCCGCCAACAAAATTCCCAACCTGGGAATTCCCACCGCGCCGAATCCCCGGGATTAATTTTCGTTTTTTAATTAACGAGGGCGGATCGGGCTCTAAGAGGGGGGTGGGGGGGACACTACGGGGGCCGCGGATCCCGTGGGATTTTCCCGGGGATTTTTTTCCCGGTTTTTTCTTTTTTCCGGGATATTTTTTTCCCGGTTTTTTCTTTTTTCCGGGATTTTTTTCCCGAGTTTTTCCCGGTCACTGCCCATCCTTGGAGAAGCTCTTCCCGATGGCGTTCCTGAAGAGCGTCACCAGCGGCGTCCGGATCCTCTCCGGGCTCATGAATCCCCCGTAACGCTTCTCCTTCCGGGAATTCCATGGCAATTCCGGGAATTCTCCATCCTCTTCCTCATCCTCCTCTTCCGTGGGTTCTTCCCTCCGGAATTCCAGCCGGGAATTCTCCTCCGACTCCTCCTCGGCGCCGTTGGGGTAGACCTTGACCGGCCTCCTCTTGCGCCCCACGGGTTTCCCCCACCGGAAGTGCTCCATGGAATACGAGCGCTTCCCGTCCTTCCCCGGCCGCCGGAAAAAACCGGGAATTCCGGGATCGCTTCCCTCTTCCTCTTCCTCTTCCTCTTCCTGGCGTTTTCCGGGCTCGCTGGCGTTCTTCCGGCCGAGCTGGTTCCACCGGAAGTGGCTCATGACGTAGCGCCGGAGGCTCTCGGAGAGCGGCTGGAGCTGCCCGTTCCCGGGAAAAACCGGAGATTCCAGGGAAAGCCGCGCCCGGCACGAGCCGGCGCACGCCTGAGACCAGGGGCGGAGAGGGAAATCCGGGAATTTGGGAATGCTGGAGTGGAATTCCCAACTTTTTGGGGTGTTAGAGATAAATGGGGAGCAGGGAAGGGATTTGGAGCCTTATGGAAGTGGGAAAATTTTTGGCCGATCCCAAAATTTGGGAATTCTTAAAAAAATTTTTGGGAGAAACCCCGTTGTGGGAAAGGGTTTGGGAATTCTCCGGTTTGGGAATTCCGGGATGGAATTCCCAACTTTTTGGGGTGTTAGAGATAAATGGGGAGCGGGGAAGGGATTTGGAGCCTTTTGGAAGCGGGAAAATTTTCGACCGATCCCAAAATTTGGGAATTCTCAAAGAAATTTTGGGAGAAACCCAATTGTGGGAAAGGGTTTGGGAATTCTCTGATTTGGGAATTCCGGGGTGGAATTCCCAACTTTTCCTATGTTGGGAATAATTTGGGAATGGGGGATTTGGGACCCTTATGGAAGCAGAAAAAATTTGGGATAATTTGGAATTCGGGGCCCTCTGGAATTTGGGAATTCCCACTTTTTTTTTTGGATCCCAGAGTTCAGAATAAATTTGGGATGGGTGGCTTGGGACCATCTGGGACCAAGTGGGAAAATTTGGAATTCAGGGCCCTCAGGAATTTGGGATTCCCAGGAAAACCAAAAAATTTGTAGAGAATCCCAATGTGGGGAGGGATTTGGGAATTCCCACTTTTCCCGTGTTGGGAATAATTTGGGAATGGGGGATTTGGGACCTTTTGGAAGCGGGAAAATTTTCGGCCGATCCCAAAATTTGGGAATTCTCAAAAAAATTTTGGGAGAAACCCCATTGTGGGAAAGGGTTTGGGAATTCTCGGATTTGGGAATTCCGGGATGGAATTCCCAACTTTTCCCGATGCTTGTATAGGGAATTTGGGGCCCTCTGGAATTTGGGGAATTCCCGAATTTGGGAATTCCCTGGAAAAACCAAAAAATTTGGAGAGAATCCCAATGTGGGGGAGGGATTTGGGAATTCCCAAATTTGGGGATTTTTTGGAGGGGGAAATTTTGGGATCTATGGGATTTGATCCCAAAAATTCCCTGGGAAAATTCCCATTCCCAAATCCCTCAATTTTTTTTCGTGACTTTTGCGATTGGATCCCAAAAAAATCCCTGGGAAAATTCCCCGTTCCCAGCCCTCCTGCTCCATTCCCCACTCCTCCCAAATCCCAAAATCCCGAAATCCCAAAATCCTGAAATCCCAAAATCCCAAACCTCAAAAACCCCAAACCCCAAAACCACCAAATCCCAAAAACTCCAAATCCCAAAACCACCAAATCCCAACCCCCAAATCCTTCATTTTTGGGACTTTTGGGATCTGAATCCCAAATCCCAAACCCCAAATCCCCAAACCCCAAAGTTTTACCAGGATTCCGACCTCGTTCCCGAGTTCCCGGCATTGGGAATTCCCCAATCCCCAAATGCCCAAATCCCAAAATCTCAAAATCCCAAATCCAAAACCCCAAATCCCAGAAACCCCAATCCCCAAAAACCCCAAATCCCAAAATCCCCAATTCCCAAAACCCCAAAACCCCAAACCCCAAAATCCCAAAAACCCCAAATATCCCAAACCCCGAATCCCCAAATCCTTCTATTTATTGGGATTTTTGGGATTTGAATCCCAAACCCCAAACCCCAAACCCACCAAATCCCAAACTCCAAAACCACCAAACCCCAAACCCCAAAACCCCAAACCCCAAAACCCCGACCCTTTACCAGAATTCCGGCCTCATTCCCAAGTTCCCGGGATTGGGAATTCCCCAATTCTGAAAACTCCAACTCCCAAATCCCCTAAACCCCAAAATCCCAAAAACACCAAATCCCAAACTCCAAAATCCCAAACCCCTAATCCCAAAACCCCAAACCCCCAAAATCCCAAACCCCGAATCCCCAAATCCTTCTATTTATTGGGATTTTGGGGATTTGAATCCCAAATCCTAAACCCCAAATCCCAAAACCCCAAATCCCAGAAACCCCAGTCCCCAAAAACTCCAAATCCCAAAAACCCCAAACCCCCAAACCCCAAAACCCCAAACCCCCAAAATCCCAAACCCTAAAAACTCCAAACCCCAAACCCCCAAAACCCCAAATCCCGAATCCCCAAATCCTTCTATTTTTTGGGATTTTTGGGATTTGAATTCCAAACCCCAAACCCCAAACCCCCAAACCCCAAATCCCAAACCCCAAATCCCAAAACCCCAAAACCCCAAAACCTTTACCAGAATTCCGGCCTCATTACTGAGTTCCCGCCATTGGGAATTCCCCAGTTCCCAAACCCCAATTCCCAAAAACCCCAAAACCCCAAAAACCCCAAAACCCCAAAAACCTGAAATCCCCAAAAACTCCAAACCCCAGTTCCCAAAACTCCAATCCCAAAACCACCAAACCCCCAAAACCCCAAACCCCAAACCCCAAATATCCCAAACCCCAAAATCCCCAAATCCTTCTATTTTTTGGGATTTTTGGGATTGGAATCCCAAATCCTAAACCCCAAACCCCAAACCCCAAAACCCCAAAACCCCAAACCCCAAACCCCAAACCCCAAACCCCAAAACCCCAAATCCCAAACCACCAAACCCCAAACCCCCCAAATCCCAAAAACTGCAAATCCCAAACCACAAACCCCAAAAACTGCAAACCCCAAATAACCAAATCCTTCTATTTTTGGGGGATTTTTGGGATCTGAATCCCAAATCCCAAACCCCCAAACCCCAAATCCCAAACCCCAAAACCCCAAATCCCCAAAACCCCAAACCCCCAAAACCCCAAACCCCAAACACCCCAAACCCCAAAACCCCAAACCCCCAAATCCCAAAACCCCAACCCTTTACCAGGATTCCGGCCTCGTTCCTGAGTTCCCGGCACTGGGAATTCCCCAATTCCCAAACCCCAAAATCCCAAAAACACCAAATCCCAAACCCCAAACCCCAAAACCCCCAAAATCCCCAATTCCCAAACTCCAGTTCCCAAACCCCAATTCCCAAACCCCAAACCCCCAAACCCCAAACTCCCCAAACCCCAAAGCCCAAACCCCAAAACCCCAAACCCCAAAATCCCCAAATCCTTCTATTTTTTGGGATTTTTGGGATTTGAATCCCAAACCCCAAACCCCAAACACCAAAAACCCCAAATCCCAACCCTTTACCAGGATTCCGGCCTCGTTCCCGAGTTCCCAGCACTGGGAATTCCCCAATTCCCAAACCCCAAATCCCAAATCCCAAACCCACCAAACCCCAAAACCCCAAATCCCAAATCCCAAATCCCAAAAGCCCCAAACCCCAAAACCTCCAAATCCCAAAACCACCAAACCCCAACCCCCAAACCCCACAAATCCCAAAAACTCCAAATCCCAAAACCACCAAACCCCAAAACCCCAAAACCCCAAAAACTCCAAACCCCAAAACCCCAAACCCCGAATCCCCAAATCCTTCAATTTTTTGGGATTTTTGGGATTTGAATCCCAAACCCCAAACCCCAAACACCAAAACCCCAAATCCCAAAACCCCAAAACCCCAAAACCCCAAATCCCAAAAACCCCAAACCCCCAAACCCCAAAACCCCAAACCCCCAAAACCCCAAACCACCAAACCCCAAACCCCAAAAACCCCAAACCCCAAAATCCCCAAATCCTTCTATTTATTGGGATTTTTGGGATTTGAATCCCAAATCCAAAACCCCAAACCCCAAAAACCCCAAACCCCAAAACCCCAAACCCCAAAACCCCAAAACCCCAAATCCCAAACCCACCAAACCCCAAACCCCAAAACCCCAAAACCCCAACCCCCAAACCCCCCAAACCCCCAAAACCCAAATCCCAAAACTCCCAAACCCCAAAAACTCCAAATCCCAAACCCCAAACCCCCCAAATCCCAAAAACTCCAAATCCCAAACCCCAAACCCCCAAAACCCCAAACCCCAAACCCCCCAAACCCCAAATCCTTCAATTTTTTGGGATTTTTAGGATCTGAATCCCAAACTCCAAAACCCCAAACCCCAAAACCCCAAACCCCAAACCCCAAAAACCCCAAAACCCCAAACCTTTACCAGGATTCCGGCCGAGTTCCCGAGTTCCCGGCATTGGGAATTCCCCAAACCCCAAATCCCCAGTCCCAAATCCCAAAACCACCAAATCCCAAGAACTCCAAAACCCCAGACCCCAAAACCCTCAAACCCCAAAACCCTCAAACCCCAAAATCCCAAACCCCAAAAACCCCAAAACACCAAAACCACCAAACCCCAAAACCCCAAACCCCGAATCCCCAAATCCTTCTATTTTTTGGGATTTTTGGGATTTGAATTGCAAACCCCAAACCCCAAAAACCCAAACCCCAAACCCCAAACCCCAAAACCACCAAACCCCAAACCCCAAAATCCCAAACCCCAAACCCCAAAAACCCCAAATCCCCCAAACCTTTACCAGGATTCCGGCCTCATTCCCGAGTTCCTGGCATTGGGAATTCCCCAATTCCCAAACCCCAAATCCCAAAATCCCAAACCCCCAAAACCCCAAACCAGCAAACCCCAAATCCCAAATCCCATAAACCCCAAAAACTCCAAACCCCAAAACCCCAAACCCCGAATCCCCAAATCCTTCTATTTTTGGGGGATTTTTGGGATTTGAATTCCAAACCCCAAACCCCAAATCCCAAAACCCCAAAACCCCAAATGCCAAAATCCCAAACCCCAAACCCCCAAACCCCAAACCCCAAAATCCCAAATCCCAAACCCCAAACCCCAAACCCCAAAATCCCAAACCCCAAAAACCCCAAATCCCCCAACCCTTTACCAGGATTCCGGCCTCATTCCCGAGTTCCCGGCATTGGGATTTTTCCCAGCACGGCCCCGCAGCTCCCGTGGGGTTGCAGAGAACGAACCCCAAAAGCAGCGCCAGGGTCCCCGACCCCATCCCGACCCCAAAACCTGCGGGAAAAAACCCCAAAACTTTGGGATTGGGATCAAAACCAGGGCCTGACCCCATCCCGACCCCATCCCGACCCCAAAACCTGCGGGAAAAACCCCAAAACTTCGGGATTGGGATCAAAACCAGGGCCTGACCCCATCCCGACCCCAAAACCTGCGGGAAAAACCCCAAAACTTCGGGATTGGGATTGAAACCAGGGCCAGGATCCCAAACCTGTGGGAAAAACCCCAAAACTTTGGGATTGGGATTGAAACCAGGGCCTGACCCCAAAACCTGCGGGAAAAACCCCAAAACTTTGGGATTGGGATTGAAACCAGGCCTGGATCCCAAACCTGCAGGAAAAACCCCAAAACTTTGGGATTGGGATTGAAACCAGGGCCTGACCCCAAATCTGTGGGAAAAACCCCAAAACTTTGGGATCAAAACCAGGGCCAGGATCCCAAACCTGCGGGAAAAACCCCAAAACTTTGGGATTGGGATTGAAACCAGGGCCGACCCCAAACCTGTGGAAAAACCCCAAAACTTTGGGATTGGGATCAAAACCAAGGCCAGGATCCCAAAACCTGAGGGGAAAACCCCAAAACTTTGGGATTGGGATTGAAACCAGGGCTGGGATCCCCAAATTTGTGGGAAACCCCAAAACTTTGGGTTTGGGATCAAACCAGGGCCCGACCCCAAAACCTGAGGGGAAAAACCCCAAAACTTTGGGATTGGGATTGAAACCAAGGCCTGACCCCAAACCTGTGGGGAAACCCCAAAACTTTGGGATTGGGATTGAAACCAGGGCCAGGATCCCAAAACCTGTGGGAAACCCCAAAACTTTGGGATTGGGATTGAAACCAGGGCCTGACCCCAAACCTGTGGGAAACCCCAAAACTTTGGGATTGAAACCAGGGCCAGGATCCCCAAATCTGAGGGGAAAACCCCAAAACTTTGGGATTGGGATCAAAACCAGGGCCAGGATCCCCAAATCTGCGGGAAAAACCCCAAAACTTTGGGATTGGGATTGAAACCAGGGCCCGACCCCAAACCTGCGGAAAAACCCCAAAATTTTGGGATTGGGATTGAAACCAGGGCCTGACCCCAAACCTGTGGGGAAAACCCCAAAACTTTGGGATTGGGATCAAAACCAGGGCTGGGATCCCAAAACCTGTGGGAAAAACCCCAAAACTTTGGATTGGGATCAAAACCAGGGCCTGACCCCAAACCTGAGGGGAAAACCCCAAAACTTTGGGATTGGGATTGAAACCAGGGCCTGACCCCATCCCGACCCCATCCCGACCCCAAAACCTGCGGGGAAAACCCCAAAATTTTGGGATTGGGATTGAAACCAGGGCCCGACCACAAACCTGTAGGAAAAACCCCAAAACTTTGGGATTGGGATTGAAACCAGGGCCTGAACCCAAAACCTGTGGGAAAAACCCAAAACTTTGGGATTGGGATCAAAACCAGGGCCGGGATCCCAAACCTGAGGGAAAAACCCCAAAACTTTTGGGATTGGGATCAAAACCAGGGCCTGACCCAAAACCTGCGGGAAAACCCCAAAACTTTGGGATTGGGATTGAAACCAGGGCCTGACCCCAAACCTGCGGGGAAAAACCCCAAAACTTTGGGATTGGGATCAAAACCAGGGCCTGACCCCAAAACCTGCGGGAAAACCCCAAAACTTTGGGATTGGGATTGAAACCAGGGCCAGGATCCCTGACCCAAAACCTGCGGGAAAACCCCAAAACTTTGGGATTGAAACCAGGGCCCGACCCCAAACCTGGGGGGAAAAAACCCCAAAATTTTGGGATCAAACCCAGGGCCTGACCCCAAACCTGTGGGGAAAAACCCCAAAACTTTGGGATTGGGATCAAAACCAGGGCCAGGATCCCAAACCTGCAGGAAAAAACCCCAAAACTTTGGGATTGGGATTGAAACCAGGCCTGACCCCAAACCTGTGGGGAAAAACCCCAAAACTTTGGGATCAAAACCAGGGCCAGGATCCCAAACCTGCAGGAAAAACCCCAAAACTTCGGGATTGAAACCAGGGCCAGGATCCCAAACCTGCGGGGGAAACCCCAAAATTTTGGGATTGGGATTGAAACCAGGGCCTGACCCCAAACCTGTGGGAAAAACCCCAAAACTTTGGGATTGGGATCAAAACCAGGGCCTGACCCCAAACCTGGGGGAAAACCCCAAAACTTTGGGATTGGGATTGAAACCAGGGCCTGACCCCAAACCTGCGGGAAAAACCCCAAAACTTTGGGATTGGGATGAAACCAGGGCCAGGATCCCAAACCTGCGGGAAAAACCCCAAACTTTGGGATTGGGATTGAAACCAGGGCCTGACCCCATCCCGACCCCAAAACCTGTGGGAAAAACCCCAAAACTTTGGGATTGGGATTGAAACCAGGGCCAGGATCCCCAAACCTGCAGGAAAAACCCCAAAACTTTGGGATTGGGATCAAAACCAGGGCCCCGACCCCAAACCTCTGGGAAAAACCCCAAAACTTTTGGGATTGGGATTGAAACCAGGGCCCGACCCCAAACCTGTGGGGAAAAACCCCAAAACTTTGGGATTGGGATTGAAACCAGGGCCAGGATCCCAAAACCTGAGGGGAAAAACCCCAAAACTTTGGGATCAAAACCAGGGCCCGACCCCAAATCTGTGGGAAAAAACCCCAAAACTTTGGGATTGGGATTGAAACCAGGGCCTGACCCCAAACCTGAGGGGAAAAACCCCAAAACTTTGGGATTGGGATCGAAACCAGGGCCAGGATCCCAAAACCTGCAGGGAAAAACCCCAAAATTTTGGGATTGGGATTAAAACCAGGGCCTGACCCCAAAACCTGCGGGAAACCCCAAAACTTTGGGATTGGGATCAAACCAGGGCCAGGATCCCCAAATTTGTGGGAAACCCCAAAACTTGGATTGGGATTGAAACCAGGGCCTGACCCCAAAACCTGAGGGGAAAAACCCCAAAACTTTGGGATTGGGATTGAAACCAGGGCCTGACCCAAAACCTGAGGGAAAAACCCCAAAACTTTGGGATTGGGATCGAAACCAGGGCCAGGATCCCCGACCCCATCCCGACCCCAAAACCTGCGGGAAAAACCCCAAAACTTTGGGATTGGGATCGAAACCAGGGCCCGACCCCAAATCTGTGGGAAAACCCCAAAACTTTGGGATCCAAACCAGGGCCTGACCCAAACCTGCGGGAAAACCCCAAAACTTTGGGATTGGGATCAAAACCAGGGCCAGGATCCCCAAATCTGAGGGAAAAACCCCAAAACTTTGGGATTGGGATTGAAACCAGGGCCTGACCCCAAACCTGTGGGAAAAAACCCCAAAAACTTTGGGATTGGGATTGAAACCAGGGCCTGACCCCAAAACTGCGGGGAAAAACCCCAAAACTTTGGGATTGGGATCAAAACCAGGGCCTGACCCCAAATCTGTGGGAAACCCCAAAACTTTGGGATTGGGATTGAAACCAGGGCCAGGATCCCAAATCTGTGGGAAAAACCCCAAAAATTTGGATTGGGATCAAAACCAGGGCCTGACCCCAAATCTGTGGGAAAAACCCCAAAACTTTGGGATTGGGATCAAAACCAGGGCTGGGATCCCAAATCTGTGGGAAAAACCCCAAAACTTTGGGATTGGGATTGAAACCAGGGCCAGGATCCCAAACCTGAGGGAAAAACCCCAAAAACTTTGGGATTGGGATCGAAACCAGGGCCTGACCCCAAACCTGAGGGGAAAAACCCCAAAACTTTGGGATTTGGGATTGAAACCAGGGCCTGACCCCAAACCTGTGGGAAAAACCCCAAAACTTTGGGATTGGGATCAAAACCAGGGCCAGGACCCCAAAACCTGTGGGAAAAACCCCAAAACTTTGGGATTGGGATTGAAACCAGGGCCTGACCCCAAACCTGTGGGAAAAACCCCAAAACTTTGGGATTGGGATCAAAACCAGGGCCTGACCCCAAACCTGCAGGAAAAACCCCAAAACTTTGGATTGGGATTGAAACCAGGCCCTGACCCAAAACCTGCGGGAAAAACCCAAAACTTTGGGATTGGGATCAAAACCAGGGCCTGACCCCAAACCTGTGGGAAAAACCCCAAAACTTTGGGATTGGGATCCAAACCAGGGCCCGACCCTAAACCTGAGGGGAAAAACCCCAAAACTTTGGGATTGGGATTGAAACCAGGGCCCGACCCCAAACCTGTGGGAAAAACCCCAAAACTTTGGGATTGAAACCAGGGCCTGACCCCAAATCTGTGGGGAAAACCCCAAAACTTTGGGATTGGGATCAAAACCAGGGCCAGGATCCCAAAACCTGAGGGGAAAAACCCCAAAACTTCAGGATTGGGATTGAAACCAGGGCCAGGATCCCCCAAAATCTGTGGGGAAAACCCCAAAACTTTGGGATTGGGATCAAAACCAGGGCCTGACCCCAAACCTGGGGGGAAAATCCCAAAACTTTGGGATTGGGATTGAAACCAGGGCCTGACCCCAAACCTGCGGGAAAAACCCCAAAACTTTGGGATTGGGATCAAAACCAGGGCCTGACCCCAAAACCTGAGGGGAAAAACCCCAAAACTTTGGGATTGGGATCAAAACCAGGGTCAGGATCCCCAAACCTGTGGGAAAAAACCCCAAAACTTTGGGATTGGGATTCAAAACCAGGGCCAGGATCCCAAACCTGTGGGAAAAACCCCAAAACTTTGGGATTGGGATCAAAACCAGGGCCAGGATCCCCAAACCTGCGGGAAAAACCCCAAAACTTTGGGATTGGGATTGAAACCAGGACCTGACCCCCAAACCTGAGGGAAAACCCCAAAACTTTGGGATTGGGATCAAACCAGGGCACGACCCCAAAACCTGCGGGAAAAACCCCAAAACTTCGGGATTGGGATCAAAACCAGGGCGGGATCCCAAACCTGAGGGAAAAACCCCAAAACTTTGGGATCAAAACCAGGGCCTGGCCCCAAACCTGAGG